AGACTTATCAGAAATTCTACCTGCCTTTACATCAGCTTTGCATTTATTGATGTGACTGGTAATTTGCAGTATGAGGCAAGAATGAACTGCAGTTGGTGGGAAAATTACTAAACCTATTAAAAGTCAACAGCGGAGCTCCCACTGTCTTCAGCAGGGATAGAATTTCATTCTGCTTGTGCTGGTTGCATTAGATTTGTAGGGCTTTCTGCTTCTTTACAGCAGCACAGAATGAAGAGTGGCTACATGGTTCATGGACAAATTAAAAAATACAGCAATTGCAATAGAAGTGTTTGAAAAGACTCCTGAAGCAAGCATTAAGGATGCCTTGTTTGAAACACAAAGGAAAACTCCCTGCATAGAAAGATAAACTGCATTTCTAGACCCTACAGAAAGATTTGGGGAAATATAAAATAAAACATAATCTAACTTGTATACTGAAATTGGAAACACTGAGCAGTTGTGTGGTGTTTTTCTCTTCTGAAATCTCAATGCTAACGCTTTCTTCTCGTTGCCTCCACAGTTTTCTTAAACACAAAAGTCAGTCCAGCGTGCAGTTGTTTTAAGGCATGATTTTGCTATGTTGTCCCTCCTTAAAATCCTCAGGCTGTCCTTATGTAAAGCATAGGATCATGATGGGCAGAAATTGTTTGCAGATGGTAAGAAGACGACATTACAGAACGGTTTCACAGGCCACATAATAATGGAACTTAACCCTATTGTATGTGGCTTCTCACCATTCAGCCAGCTTTCTTTAAAGGAAGGGAACAGGCTGTTGTCCAATTAATTTCAATTTTAGCTTCTGTGCCTTATATCCACTAATTCTGAAAACCTACATTTACTTAAACGACAACAGAAAGTCTCTTTTCTGCTAAATCTAGATTTAGTAAAACCTCTTTAAAACACAAATCTGCAGAGCACATCCCTGCAGTTCCAGAAGGACCATTGGTAACACTATAGTGGGAAAGGAATTAATCCCCTGAAATCTAAAATTAGGCCAGAGAGCACCCCTTTGAGCTTTAAACCGCAAATGGAAGGTGTAAGAACAACACTCGCAAGTTCCAGTTCTTCACAGGCTCCAAGTTACACCTATGAAATACTGCAGATTGCTGGTCATGTTATTAAATGGTGGCCAGAGGAACACGAGGACTCGTGATGCTTTAAAATACCTACCTTTGGCGCAGACAACCTGTGAAATACGAGGCTCACAGGTCACTTTCCAGGGAAGTTTTGAGAGACTTTGCCTAAAGCCACAGCTCCCAAGTTTGTGTGATTATGACTAGAAAGATCTGTATCTCCTGATTCACAACCTCAAGATTTTATTCGTATCTCCTAACCCATCCATGATTTTTTTTAATTTGTTCACATCTATTTATTTTTGCTTGTATGTTTCTTCATTTTAGCAACATGTTTTTCCTTCTCCCTGTTCATTACACCTTTTTTTTTTCCTTTTTTTTTTTTTGCTTTCATTTCTCTTCTCTGTTTTTGGCTGAATTATTCACTTTACGATGGTGTTACTTTTTCCCCACTTCATCTGCCCAAATACCTCTTCTTCACTCTTCAGTGCCTCTTTGCTCTCCCCAGGCGTGCCCAAAGGCCTGAAATTCAGTAGAAGACTGCTACTGGATGGCGGTGGAGGAGGAGAGACCCTGAGGCCAGGCCAAGCACGGCACACGGGAGGGTGGTCAATGCACAGCAGGCATCCACGAGCAGCAGACGTAGAAGAGGATGAGGGTGAGCATCCCGCCTCCTGGGCACGGGCTGAGGAAGGAGGCTCGGTGCATGGAGGCTCAGTTCTTCCCGCTGGCTTCACCACAAAGCCCTCTTCTTTTACTCAGTTTGTCCAAAGCTTTTAGAAAGAAAAACAGCAGAGTTTTTGCAGTAGCCTTTAAATGCAACAAGTCACTGAGTGGAGGTTTGAATAATACCTCAATTAGTTGCAAAAGTGTGCACTCTGCATACTTGCAAGGACTTTTCCACCAGCTCAATTTAATTTCCACAAAATGTTTTGATCCAGCAACTTACCGTTTTTAGGACTTCGTTCTCCTTAAACCTCACGGGACCGTTTCACAGAAGAAACATGCCAG